TTGTTTCTTCCTCAAGATAATAACAGATTGAGTTTATGTTTCATACTCCATCTATGTTACTTTAATTCTCTCTAGTTCGTTGAGAATATTCACATGGTATCAGAGCGAATTCCAACCTAACCTTTTCAACCTATGACGCCTGAATCCTCCAACCACTCAATCATGGGAACTGATTCGGCCGTCCCACCGATTACCAGCTCTCTCCGTGAAAAGTTTCTCATTTTTTCCGATGACCACCCAGGTTTGGGTCTAGTCACAGTTCAACTGAATACTTCTAATTGAATCTATTGGAAAGTTGCAGTCCAGACTGCCTTAAACTGCAAATTTAAGGAAGGGTTTATCGATGGCACTATAACTCCTCCTCTGGTGACTGATCCAGAATTCCGCTACTGGCGCAGGGTAGATAACCTTGTTCTTATGTGGCTTAAGAACTCTATTGTACCAAAAGTTGTCAGATGTTTCGTTCATACCTCTTCAACTCGTGATTTGTGGCTCAAACTTGAAGATCGTTTTGGTCGAGTAAGTGGACCTCAGATTCTTATGCTCAAGAGGAAAATTTTTAATCTCTCCCAAGGTAACAACACTATTACAGATTACTTTGGCTCATTGAAATCTCTTTGGAGTGACTTTCGTGCTTTGCAACCATTTCCTGCTTGTGATAACTCTGTAGCACAACTGTTAAGAATTGAGGATGAACGAATGTTGTTGGTTCAGTTGTTGATGGGGTAAACACTTCTTATAAGCATGTTTGCAATCAAATACTTATGATTGATCCTTTACCCTCAATAAGTGTGGCGTACAGAATGTTGTGTAATCTTGAATCACAACGTGGTGCTCTTATGTCTAACTCTGGTTCTCCAGATCTTGCTCTGTCTGCTTCCGTTGTTCCAACTCCATCATATATAAGAAATTCTTTAAGAATTCTTTAAGAAGTAATCTACTAATAGTATTTGTGTCTATTGCAAAAGGCCTGGACACACCAAGGAAACCTGTTTCAAACTCCATGGTGAGCCTAAATAGTATAAAGAATTTATTGATTAGAAGAAAGGAAAAAATGTTGTTGCAGTTGTTGCTAACACATCTCCTAGAAAAGAAACCAAACATCAGGAGTCTTCATCTTTTGTCACTAAAGCTGAACTTGAGGATATGATTAAAAGGCTAATGCAGACATCGATCACTTCTCCAGTTGATTATGCAGCAGGAGCCTTTGGTTGCTCAGGTAACTCTTTGTTTAATGATGAATCTCATAGTTTGTGAATCCTTGACACAGGAGCTTCCAACTATCTTTTTTCCTCTCTTTCTTTGCTTGTTAATCCTAAGCCTATAATCTCATCTTCTAATATCTATCTTCCTGATGGAACCACTAAAACTCCTGGTCATTTTGGATTAGTCATTCTAAATTCCTCCATCACATTACATAATGTGTTTTATATTCCTGGTTTTGTTTTAAACCTCATATCAATAAGTAAGTTAACTGCTGATTTAGGCTGCCTAGCTAAATTTGATGCCTTTTGCTGTGACTTGCAGGACCTGAGGACTAACTCGACCCTCTTACATGCCAAGCTTCATCATAATCACTATATTTTTCAGTCAAGCTTATCTTCTCAGGTTCTATGTTCTACTGTTTGTTCTGATCCTTTATCTTATACTTTGCTATGACATGAAAAATTAGGTCATCCATCTTGAAATGTTATGAAACACTTACCTATCCAGTTCACTTTATTTCCTTCTACACCCTGTGATGTTTGTTCCACTTCCAAATTTCAAAAATTATCTTTCAATAAAAGTGTTTCTTATGCCACTACTGTCTTTTTTTTTTTTTTTTTTTTTATCTTCTTCATGTTGATCTTTGGGGTCCTTTTTTGTATCCTTGCACCACTAATAGTAATTATATGTTAATTATTATTGATGATTGTTGTGGGGCCACTTGGTTATATCTATTACAACATAAAAGTGAAGTGGTGGGTTTATTGTCCTAATTTCTAGTTTTAGTGAATACTTAATTCTCAACTTTAGTGAAAGTGATTAGGAGTGATAATGGGTCTGAGTTTTGCAATACTGCATGTGAAGAATTATTTTCTAAATCTGGGGTAGTGCATCAAAAAAGTTGTGTTTATACTCCATAGCAAAATGGGGGGTTGAGAGAAAATACAAACACATTACTCAAGTTGCTAGATGTCTGCTCATCCACTCTAGTTTATCTAAGTTCTATTGGAATGAGGCTGTTCTCACTGTTGTATACTTGATCAATAGACTTCCAACTCCTCTCATTGATTGGAAAACTCCCTATGAGATTGTTTACAATATAAAACCTGATTTTGGGAGACTTCATGTATTTGGGTGTCTATGCTTTATTAAAGTTCCTAGTTCTCAACAGGGTAAACTAAACCCTAGGGTGTTGAAGGGTATATTTATGGGGTATAGTGGGACACATAAAGGTTACAAAGTTTTTGATTGTCTTACTAATAAGATACATATTACTAGAGACGTGGTGTTCTATGACTCCATTCTACCTTTCTCATCAAATATGTCCCATCGTAATACTTTATCTCCTACTCTCAACTCAACTCCATTACCTTTCGTTAATATTACTGATCCCATTCCTACTCCAACGATTATGCCCGAATCTAAGTCAACATCTGACTTAGATTCTGATCTCTCTCTGCATTCCAATCCCCAAGCTCCTCTTTTTCACACCGATTCTTCTCCAGTTTCTCATTCATCTTTAGCTTCTTCTTCCTCTATTTCCAATCCTTCTCCTGTGTCACTGACTACCATACCTCAAAGATTCAGACGAATGCCTCATAAGTATCAAGATTTTATCTGCACTATTCCAGAAGTGCAGCTGCCTGCTTAATTTGCAGACATTAGCCTGTCAGAGGCTTGGACCAAAGCCATGGCTGAGGAGCTCGATGCTATGGCTAAGAATGATACATGGGATTTAGTTCCCTTACCTCATTCTAAGAAGCCCATTGGATGCAAATGGGTGTTGTATATTAAATATAATCCGGATGGCTCTATTCTCAAGCATAAAGCTCGTCTTGTCATTAAAGGTTATCACCAAAATTTTGGGGAAGATTACCGTGAGTCCTTCGCTCCTATTGCAAAGCAGACTACTGCTCGCCTTATTATTGCCTTGGCAGCATCCCTACGATGGAATTTACACCAATTGGATGTAAACAATGCTTTTCTTCATGGTGATATTAATGAAGACATTTACATGGCCTACCCACCTGGCTTGTCTACCTCCTCTAATCACGTTTGTAGACTTAAAAAGTCTATATATGGTCTCAAGTAGGCCCCACGGCAATGGAATGCCACTCTCACTGCCTTTCTTCTATCTTTGGGAATATAACAGATCCCTTTCGATCATTGTCTTTTTGTGGAGTTTACTGAGCTTGGTCCAGTCATTTTGGTTGTCTATGTTGATGATATTCTGCTTGCAAGAAGTAATGAACACAAGATCACTTCTCTAAAGCGAGCCTTGCACAAGCACTTCACCATTAAAGATCTTGGTGTTGCTTCTTATTATTTGGGACTTGAGTTAATACAAGGTACTGATGGCATTCATGTCTCTCAGTCAAAGTTTACTCATGACCTTCTTGAAGAATTTTAGGTGCCTTCAAACAGTCGTGCTCACACTCCACTTGGCACTGCCAAGTCGTTGTAACTTAATGGAGTTCTTTTTGCTCAACTGCATCTCTTCCGAAAACTTGTTGGAAAACTTCTTTATCTTGGTTTTTCTTATCCAGATCTGAGTTTTGCGGTGCAACAGCTCAGCCAATTCATGCATGCTCCAACAGAGGAGCATTGGTTTCCTGCTACTCATGTGCTTCAATACTTGCATAACACCTCCACCCGTGGTCTCTTATTTCCAGTCTCCGGTCTTCGAGAACTTACAGGTTTTTGTGACTCTGATTGGGGCAACTGTCCAGACACTCGTCGCTCATTGAGTGGATATTGTGTCTTTCCATGTGGTGCTCTAATTGCTTGGAAGACTAAGAAGCAACAGATTGTCTCGAAATCTTCTACCGAAGCCGAATATCGAAGTCTTGCAGCAGCAACCTCAGAACTTCTTTGGATCCATTATGTTCTTGAGGCTCTTCATGTCTCAGTTCTTCATCTCGTTCCCTTATATTACGACAATGAATCAGCCATCAAACTGGTGTGCAATCTGGTTCATCATGAACGAACGAAGCACATTGACATCTCTTGCCATTTTATTCGTGAACATTACCAGTCTGGGTTCTTGATCCCTAATTTCATCCGCACTTCTGTGCAAGTTGCTGATCTCTTCACAAAAAATCTGCACTCTCATCTCTTTCTCAAGCACTATGGCAAGCTCAACATGGTTGGACCTCCAGGTTTTGCTTGTGGGGGATGTAAAGAGTATGACTAGTACATAACATATTGAAAATAAAGGCATTGGATAACTTATGTTTCATTCCCTTGTAACTGTTGTTGTATTATTTATTTTTGAAAGCGTTATCATGTTTTATCTTTTTCCGTAGACGTATATATTAGTCTTCTTTGTCTTCTTCCTCAAGATAATAACAAATTGGGTTTCTGTTTCGTATTCCATCTCTGCTGCTTTAATTCTCTCTGGTTTGTTGAGAATATTCACAAAAATTAACTATCATAATTTATATCATTAAATAATACAGATACAATTATCATAATGTATTATTAACTATCAGCATTAAATTAATTATAATAATTTCTTTCATTAAATAATACAATTAGTATAATTATCATAATTATTTTTAACTATCAGCATTCGTTGAACTTGTTGGTTATCAATAGGATTGATAATAGTTTGGGACCCTTATAGTCCTGACTGACTTAAACTATAATACTGTTTTGTTTTGTCCCAAATTAACACATTCTCAAATAACATAGAATGTCAATTTATAGTTAATTAGTTATTGAATATGCCGTACACTAACAGCCGCCAATTAAATTGATGATGCGTGTACTTACAGCAAAGGATTTCAATTCAATTCTTGAAATTAAATTAATTAAAATAAAACCTAAAAGCTTAAAAGAGTTGAAACCAAGAATCTAATCACCCCTTACAATTACATGCATGCATATCCACAATTGAAGGCCAAAAAAGAAAATCCCAGATTCATTTCTGCAACCAACCAACACTTCCCTAACTACCATTTAAAAAAAAAAAGAAAAAAACATTAAATTAAATTAAATAGTTATATATAGAATACAGCAGAAGCTGCTCCTGCAACAATAAAGACGACGACCAGCGACTGCAACAATGGCGGACACTCAAATCTCGACGACTCTCCCATGGCCAACCCTGCAAGCCAGCTTCCATCAGCCAGCATTGCTTCTGACCCGGACCCGGACCCGTATTCTGATTCCGGTTCGGATCCTCCTGCCTCCCCGGACCCACCCATGTTACTTTCTGACCCTGACAGTGACGAAGAAGACGACGAAGACGACGACCCCTCTGTGTTTATTGCCCCCCCCGGTGACGTCATCGTCGGAGCTGGATCTTTCGATGATTTCTGACTGCAAATTATATATATAATCAGTTTGATTTATTTTTATAATAATAAAAATTATGAAATTAGAGCTTAAATAATGACCTGGGCATGGAGGGGCAAAACGTCACCGTATAATCGGCGCCGGAGCAGGTGAAGGTGCTGGTGGGGTCGTCGTAGGCGTAGCTGTATGATCTAGGGCACGCCGATTTGAAGATTTGAGAGTAGAACGACGGCCGGCACGCCGCCGGCGAGTTGTACGGCCCGCTGCAGCAGTACTCCGGCTTCCCAAACGCCTCGCACGCGCTGTTGCACGCGCTTCCGCCGGCGGCGCGTAGATCCGACGGGCAGGCCCGGTTCAGATCCGTCACGCAACCCGTCGACGCGCACATTCCCGACCCGCCGGTGGCCTCGACTATCATCGGCAAGTTGTAGCCGTCGACGAGGCTGACGTCGTAGAAGTCCAGCCCGCCGACGCCGAGAGTGATCTCCGCCAGCGTGGCCGGCGGCGCCGCACCCGACCCATTGCATTCCGATTGACCCGACCCGCAGTCACCGGTCTGGCACGACCCAGTTCCCGCCGCGAATGTGCAGCCGGTTCTGCCCCAGAACCGGCCGGACCAGCCGGAAGGGGCGACGAACGCCCTAGATGAGTCGCTGGGGAGCTCGAAGCCGGTGCTGTCCAGCGGCGGGCTGCCGGCGTTCGCCAGAATTCCCGGCCACACTGTGTACTCACATTTGTTCACAAATGTGAACGTCGCCGCAAATGCAGCTGCAACACCGCCGGAAAAAAAAAAAAAACATAAAAAAGGGGAAAGATTAAAAATCACAGAAACCCTAAATCCCCAAATCGATTTCCATACGTCAAAGCACAAAACCCTAAATCCATATCCAAAAACATAGAATTCATCTACAATTTACATCTGGAAAACAGAAACAGAGCAATGTGGAACCTCAGGAACACGGAGAAACAGAAACCCATGAAAAGGTTAAAATCCAGCGAAACCCTAATTCCCAAATCGAATTTACCTCTGGAGAACAGAAACAGAGCAATGTGGAAGCGCAGAAGCATCGAGAAACAGAGATCCATGAGCAAGAAGCCAACAAATTTCTCCCCCTTTCAAAAAATAAAATAAATAGCAGTATATATTTGTAGGGTTTTGATATTACAGAAACATTATTAGAGGAAGTGACAAATTACAGCACTGAGTGAGACAAGGAGAGGGTTTTGGGGACCAAACGGAAGAATGATAATTAATGATACCATTAATTAAAACAGCAGAAAATGGCTGTAATTTAGGACTGGGTGGAGAATCTTTTTCAAGAATCCCATTTCCATGGATCAATTATATACTTTAACATGATAACAAATATAGTACACAAAATATAAATAATTTATATATTGATTATAACAATAATAATAATAATAATAATCCTATAAATAAATAAATAAATAAATAGCGATAATGTAGAGACAGTGGTTACTGTGGGAATGCAAAAAAGCTTTGGATTCCTTTATGCTCGTCTTTTGATGCTCGTTAATTTAATTTAATTTAATTTAATTGCAGTAAAATTTGACCAAAGGGTCAAGTAAAATCATTGCCATTGGCTCAGCCTGTCTACTACAGGCTCTACTGTGAAAATAAAAATAAATAAATAAAATAAAAAGATTTGAGATTAGATTAGACAATAATGGAGGGCCATCTTCACACGACTGGATCGACTATTTTTGGCAACTCTTAAGAATTAATTACTCGCTCGCACCCGTCTGTTTCACTGTAGACACGATATTTTAGAAAGAGTATAATTAGTAGATAATTAAAAATATATTAGTGAAAATAATTATTCTATAATATAAATAATTATAAATTAAAATTAAAATAACTAATTAATTTAATTTAATTAAAATAAAATAAAAATAAAAATTTAAAATGAAATTAAAATGTGTTATTATTGGAGGGAGTAATTATAATTGGCTGAAGAGAAGCAAATGAAAGAAAGAGATGTCATCATTTTGGTAGGAAATGTTTATTCAAAAGCTGACTTGTTTTTGGACTTTTTTTCAGACATACATTCCACGCCCCATTACCCTTTTGGAGTTTCAACTTTCAATTCTGAAATTAGGGCTAATTAAGTACATGATTAATTTTAATAAATAAAGGGATAATTATTCCCAATGGATGATTTGAATTACATTGATATATGATCCAATGCCTTGTCTGGATTGTTCCTCTGGGCTTGCATTTTATATCATACGTCAAATCTGAGTTATTAGAAGATATTTTTTAGTTTCTATCGGATATTTGTTTTGTGTCATTTGTTATATAAATTATTAATTTATACAACTTAAAATAGTTAAAGACAAAATTTTGTGACGAAATAGTCAAAAGACACGGAATAGAAATATCTCCGACATTTTCGTTACTTTAAATAGTTACGAAAAATTGTTTGTAACTTCTTTTGCAAATATTACTTACGATACAATCAAAGCAAAATATTGTAACATAAATTTGTCATGAAATTATTTTCCATTATCGCGAATTAAAATTTGCGACAAATTTTCGCAATTATCAACTTTTTTTTTCTAGCAGTGAGTCTAACCTCCTACCTTCAAGTTTCCATAGACAATATTATTGTGTGTAACAATAATTCTTTTATATCTTGTGCATGAAATAAATCATCCATGCTAGTAAGAAAAATCATCATAAAATGATGATCTTAAGCCAAAAAAATATTGATAAGATTCACATTAGTTTAATTCAAACCACTCTAGCCACTCATCTTTCATTATTGGGATTGTATATGTAAGAAGATATATAGAGACTCATTTGATACAAATGCCATTATTGGATTATTGTTTGGCTCACATAAATCCTTGTAATAATACTACCAAACCCCCTACCTTGTGGATACATTCATGACTTTCCATGCAGTCAAAATTTCACTAGTCATAGATGTTAAAAAGAGATTTAGTACAAAAAAAAAAAAAAAAAAAAAAACTTTTTCAAATTATTAATTTGGTCTGTGGTTGCTAAATTTTCAAAGTATTAATCAATACTTTCCTTTTTAAGAAATATTACATAAAAAAATTCTATTAAGAAATTACTTACCAGATCTTTTTATATCTTCTATACGGTATATCATACCGAAACGGTCATACCGTATATCGTATCGAATGATTCGGTATGCCAAAAAATATATTGATACCGTACTAAAGTTTTTGGTATATCGATATTTACCAGTACGACATCGGTATATACCAGTTGTGCCGAAATTTATCATAAAAAAATTTGAATTTTTATCATAAACAATCTTAAAGTATAATTAATCAGTACAATCAAATACCTGGAAAATATATATACATATCTTACAAACATCATAAATCAATCTCATCACCACAATCTCATTGAGTAATTCCAAACATATTCCACAATCTCATTCTAAACACTACAAATCAATCTCATTCGGCCATTCCATATAAATTCCACATGCGACCATAATCAAATATCTGGAAAAAATATATATATATATCTTCAAAACTTGCAGAAATTTCAGCCTCATTCAAGTATTCAATCATAATCTCTTTCAATCGCTTCAAAATTCTCGGCAAACTTGAACTCCAAAAAAATAAAATAAAATATCCAAATAAAAAATTCAACTAAAAATAAAACTTGAGTATCCAACTCAAATCTAAAAATATAACTTCAATATCTGATCATCCAATGCTAAATCTGCATAATATGTTTCTTCACAAGTCAACTTCAATGCTAAATATAGCATTTAAATAAATAAGAAATAGCAGCTAAAAGAATTAAAATAATTTAAAAATAACAACTCAATCGAACTTTATAATAACGGAATGAATTAAAAATAAAATTACTTATTTTGCAAATAGGGGAATCACTTACCTTGAAAAAAGAACACTTGAATACTTCAACTTCCTATCATGGTTATCGCCAACACCTAATAACAATACATGCAATTTTTTCATCACGATATATTAAAATATTTTAATAAACTTAATAAATAAAAATTACAAAATTTACAAATTTATTAGAGAGACAAACTTTCTTGGGCCGGAATCAATATAGTTAACAGAAGTTTCAATAACTTCATCATCACTTTCATCAGAATTTTTAGTATCAACCTCTTCAGGGGTTGTACTGACCTTTTCAGATATCTGATCATTGTTGATATCTTCACTAGTATTTACAATTTTCCTCTTTCGTGGATTCTTATCCTTGAAACCCAACGGTCTGCCACGTTTTACGCGGGCAGTATGCTCATTAGCACTTGGCACCTTCATTTATGGGATATTTATTTTAGCTGGTGCATTTGCTGCTGCAATATATGATTTCGTAACTCTTGTAGCATCATTAAAAACATCAGGCAATTGATTTGCAATTTTCTGCAAATGCACAATTCTTTGAACTTCAAGTTCACTATATTTCGTACGATAATCAAATTCAAGTGGTATTTTCCACAAAATTTCTTTTTTCAGTTGATTACTGTCTTCCCCTAATATCAGGAAATGTGATTCGTCAAAGTGACAGTCTGCAAATCTTGCAGTAGATAAATCACCCGTTATTGGTTCAAGATATCTTGCGATCGAGGGTAATTCATACCTGACATATATACCCAACCTTCTTTGAGGTCCCATTTTCATGCGTTGAGGTGGCGCAATTGGCACATACACAACACATCCAAAAATTGGCATGTGAGATATATTTAATACTTTTCCAGAAACCAATTGGGTAGGAGAATAACAGTGATAACTTGTCGGTCTTATTTTCACGAGGGCTGCTATATGCAATATAGCATATCCCCAACATGATACAGAAAGTTTATACCTCATTAACAATGGTCTAGCAATTAATTGCAATATTTTGATAAGAGATTCAGCGAGGCCATTTTGTGTATGTACATGGGGAACAAGATATTCCACAGTAATCCAAATTGACATGCAGTAATCATCAAATGTATATGATGAATACTCTCCAGCATTATCTAGACGTATTTTCTTTATCGGGTGATATGAAAATTGTGCTTGCAATTTAATTATTTGTGCGAGTAGTCTAGCAAAAGATAGATTGCGAGTAGATAACAAACATACGTGTGACCATCGCGTTGACGCGTCAATTAGTACCATAAAGTACTTGAAGGGTCCACACGGTGGATCTATTGGTCCACAAATATCACCCTGAATTCTTTCCAGAAAAGCTAGGGATTCAAATCCAACATTTGTTGGAAATGGCCAGATTATTAACTTCCCTTAGGAACAGGCAGCACAAGCAAATTCATTCAGATTCAAAATATTTTTCTTTTTCAATGAGTGGCCATTGGAATTTTCAACAATTCGCCTCAGCATTACATTGCCAGGATGCCCAAGTCGATCGTGTCAAGTTTTAAATTCGCTAGTAGCCATTTGGTATACTAGGTGATATGTTTCAACGACACTGATTTTTTAATAATATAAGGCGGAAGAAAATGATGGCAATTTTTCTTGCACAATTCTTTTGCCATTCACAATCTGAGTTATCAAGAGATACTCATTTTCTGCCTCATTCAATGTTTCAATGTGATACCAATTTTTCCGAATATCACTGAAGCTCAGTAAATTCCTTCGAGCTTTGCTCGAGAACAAGATATTTTCAATTGTCATTTTTGTCCCTTTTGGCAGATATACAGTAGCTTTTCCTAAGCCTTCAATCATTTTCGATGCACCACTAATAGTAACAATTGTTGTCTTTCCCATATTCAGATGAGACAAATAACTTTTGTTTTTCAGAATGCTGTGAGTCGTAGCACTGTCGATAAGGCAGATATTGTCATCGGCTCCAAAATATTTGGCATCCATATCTTTGCAAAAAGGTAAAAATAATAAAAGATATGTATTAGTAACATAATCAAAATAGACTTATATTATAAGGGGTAATACAAAAAGGGGGCAGAAAATATCAAAATAACAAAAGAGATACAACAATATTTTATCATTTAACATCATCAGCTATGTCAAGCAGATCATCGGCATCCAAGTGCGTGATATTTTCATTCATCACATCGTCAAATGTGTCATCGTGGGCAGCGTGATTTGTTTCGGGGTAATTCTTCCCTGTCTTTCTTTTGAGGCCCAATACAGTTCAACCAAGTGACTGGCTCTGCGACAAACATGGGCCAAATGGCCTTTGATTCCACACCGAGTTCATTCCTCGTCATTGTTTCTATTTCTCCCGGTGTTAAACCTCTGTTGAGGTCTGTACGCCCTTCTGTCATTATAGTGTCGATTTGGCACATATCGGGGCCTGTTTTGATAATTATTGTGACTGTATGCGTTTTCCTTGCCCCATCCGCGATTCTAATTTCGATTGCGATCAATTCTTTGATTTCTGACCTGCCCACGGCCACGTACCGGATTTGCCGGTTGTATTGCATTTGCCTCTGGAAATAGATTTGCACCTGTCGGCCGAGATTCGTGATTTTTCAACAACAATTCATTATTTTGTTCGGCCAACAAAAGACAGGTGATCAACTCAGAATATTTCTGGAAGCTTTTTTCGCGATACTGCTGCTGCAAAACCATGTTAGAGGCATGAAAAGTGGAGAAAGTTTTCTCCATCATATCAGATTCAAATATATTTTCGCCACAGTGGCGCAGCTGTGATGTTACTTTAAACATGGCAGAATTATATTCTTGGACTGTTTTAAAGTCCTGAAACCTTAGGCTTTGCCATTCGCTTCGTGCCCTTGGCAACAATGTCAGCCTCAAATGATCATATCTTCCTTTCAATTTCTCCCACAATTCAAGTGGAGATTCCAGCATGACATACTGCATTTTCAGTACCTCATCGATGTGATGACACAAAAAGATCATGGCATTTGCACGATCTTGGCTCGGGGAATTTTTATCATGGGCAATAGTATTTTCCAAGCACATTGATGTCAAATATATTTTAACATCGCGAGCCCATGCCATATAATTTTGGCCAGAAACGAGAAGAGAGAGAAATTCCTGTTTGGCAAGGTTAGACATAATAAACAGATAAAAAATAAAATATTACCTTGCGGAAAAATAAAATATATAATCGTGCTGACAACATGTTGTGATATTATTATAAGATTAGCCAATAGAAATATTATTTACTTTTGCCGCTAACAACTATTTTATATTTTGTATTATATTATATACTATATATAATATATAAGTAAATATATATATGAATTGCGCTGAAAGAACCAAGTACGAAAGAATTTAATGCAGCAGACAGACAGGATGAAATTAAATGTGAATGAATGAAATTGAAATGTAATGTGATTGTAGTTCGTTTCATTCGGTATATATTTATATATACATGAAACCTCCACATGAAGGAAATAAAAAGCAGTCTCAGTACCACGTAATTGCTATGTGTGCATTTCCTAACAATCACACAATATTACAAATAATGTAACTAAAAAATAAAAATTTTAAAGGAAAAATTATTTATTTTATCTTTCTATTGTAATATTACTTATAAAATATTAATATACTAAAATTTACTTATAAAAAATAAATCAATACATATGATTTAGACGGATAAAGTATTATATATAATAAAATAAATTTTAATACTATTAATAATTAGTGTCATGCATTTCAAATATATATAAAAACAAAGCGTGAGTATTCAGATATATTTTTCAGTCGGACCTGATTTATAGGATATTAGATTTAGCTCGGAGTTTACCCAGTGCGCACTTTCGGATAGCGGCTACGGATTCCCTAGTCATATAAAAAAAATAATAAAAAAAAAAATTGTAGAAAGGAATAAAAAAAACATTGAAACCATATCCCGTCAGAATTTAAGCACAAGTGGAATCACGCAAAGAATCAAACTTGTGGAGTATAGAGTAGTGCCATGCGTTTCGATGCTGCTCTTTTTTTTAATTTGTTGTGTTGTGTGTATGCTAAATACGACGAGGACCTGATGGGATTTAAAGTAGGAAATATTAAAATTTTGATTTATTAATAATTATTTAATACGATATAAATAAATATGATATTTTAAATATTAAATTAATTTTTAATATTATATAAAAATAAAATTTTAAATACTTATCTGATATTTTTAGAAAAATTTGTGAATAGTTGGAATCTAATAGACAAATGAGTTGTTTGGTTGAAGTATGAAATTGATTCGAAATGAAGCGTCGATTTCAGTTTATGTAAATAGTATTTTGATTTGATATTTTATGAGAAAAAATAGTACTATATATTTATTAAAATTGTGTTGAGTGAATAATGTTTGTTTAAATTTGAAATAGAAAAAAATACAGATTCTATATAATTCATTTAGATAGAAGTTTTGAACATTTTAGAAATAATAAAAATTATATATTTGATATAATAGTTTGTAAATAGAAAAGATATTTGATGGGCACTGATCTTATGCTAATTCGGTCAAGAACATATATTAAACATATCCATAATATTATACATATGTTAATTACCTTTATAATATATATTGATCCAGTAAAAGATCTTGAGATTTCGCCCATATTTGATGTATGAGTTTTAAAAAAATGACTATGAATAAATAAATCAAAAATTTTAAAAATATCTATCAAACAGAATCTTAATGTGAATTTTTGTTGGTTTTCAATTATCCACACTTTTTTTAATTGAAAATTATCAAATTAAATACTTTTTTTTTTTTTTTTATATTGATTCGACACTTCAGAAAATTTTAATACTATTCTTTTATAGTAATCATTTTTCAAAAACATCTAATCAAATATTTACTCTATTTCACAAAATATTATACTAAATATTAATTTTTTTATTTTAAAATTTTATTCAAATTTTAAAAAATTTTAAAATAAAATTTTATTATTCTCAAACTATATTACTCACAATCTCACGTCCAAGCATATATATATATATAGCTTGCTAGATTCCCCCTTCAATATATATATCATCAATTATTGAATATAGAGACAAAGTGCAACGCTCAAAGCAATTGGACATGATTCCTTTCTAAAGCTATCCTTTTAAATCCAACATTGATCATCATCATCTTCTTCCCCAATTAGATTCTCACAACTTCGAACACATGAACGAACAAACCCCGAAAATCGTCGTCGTCTCCCACGACGGGCTCGAATTTTGGCAATTCATGATCGCCGGATCGATCGCCGGTTCCGTGGAGCACATGGCCATGTTCCCGGTGGACACTCTCAAAACTCGGATGCAAGCCATCGCTAGTTCGTCGTACAAAAACAAAACCCCTTCCTCATCGCCACAATTAACTCTTAGGCAATCCATCGGCGGGCTATACCGCGGCATTGCGGCCATGGGATTGGGCGCGGGTCCCGCGCACGCCGTGTACTTCGCAGTGTACGAAACTTGCAAGAAGTTTTTGTCATCGGAAAATTCGAACAACCCGTTGGCCCATGCGGCTTCGGGGGTGTTTGCAACTGTCACCAGCGACGCAGTCTTGACACCGATGGATGTCGTGAAGCAAAGATTGCAGTTGAAAGACAGTCCGTATAAAGGGGTCGGGGATTGCGTGAGAAGGGTGATCGTCGAAGAAGGGTTTGGGGCATTGTATGCGAGTTATAGGACAACCGTCGTGATGAATGCCCCTTTTACGGCGGTTCACTTTGCCACCTATGAGGCCGCAAAACGGGGAATGATCGGAGAAGAGGAAGAAGAGGAGACGCTGTTGCTTCATGCAACGGCCGGGGCGGCTGCCGGGGCCTTGGCTGCCGCGATAACCACTCCACTTGATGTTGTGAAGACACAACTGCAATGTCAGGTACTTAGCAAATAGTCCGTTCCCTCGTTATCGTATATTTATTGTTTGCATGTTAATTAGAAAATAAAAGTATTTTAGAATAAACGAACATTTCAGTCTCATACGACATTTATTCTCATTTTAGTCATTTAAATAAAAAATATATAAGTTTTATTTTTAATCAGTAGTCGCTGAAAAGATTCTCTAGTATTAAAATATGACACGTGTATTGACAACACTTTTGCAACTGACTTGAACTAATTAGTTAGTGATTTTTAATATGACATATATATATAATTTTGTATATTTATTTTAAAATTAACGTAAGTAAAAATTTGATGATACAAATTGTTATATGAATAGTTCACATTAGTTCTAAAAGTATTATGTAATTATATGTAGCAATATTCCAGTACTGAAAGATCAAGAATTGTAGCAATATTTGAGTGCTAAAATATTTTTTCAATGACTACGAATTAAATATAAGATTAATTCTATACAAAATTTAGTTAAATGATAAAAATCATTATGAATAAATATTACTCCCTCCGTCCACAAACTAACGTATTATTTTTCTATTTGGAATGTCCAACAATTATTATTCTTTTTCTATTTTTATACACAAAATTTACTCTTTTACTCTTACTTTATTTACTCTTTCATTTTCTATACAAGGGCAAATTTGTCATTTTATAACAAAACCCTAATTGTCTAAAAATACGTGTAAATATCAAATAAGATATTAGAAAATGGACGGAGGGAGTATTATTTTGTCTCGTAAGGGATGAGCTGATGGTGTAGGGGTTGAACTTGTGACCGTTGAACCCCAACACCTCAGGTCACCTGCCACATGTGGTTCGCCTAGTGCGATTTTTCCGTCGGACCTGGTTTGCAGGATATTAGGTTCGGTCGGGGATTTACCCGGTGCGCACTTTCGGGCAGCGGCTGCGGATTCCACGTTACCGAGAAAAAAAAAAAAAAAAAAAAAAAAAACATTTATCTCATGAATAATTAATGTATATAGATAGATACATGGGTTGTGTGGTGTGGTGCAGGGAGTGTGCGGGTGTGATCGATTATCGAGCAGTTCAATCCGAAGTGTAATTCAAACAATAAAGAACAAAGAGGGGTACGGAGGGCTTATGCGGGGGTGGGTCCCACGAATGCTATTCCATGCCCCCGCAGCCGCCATCTGTTGGTCCACCTACGAGGCCGGCAAGACATTTTTCCAACGCCTCAATGGAACTACCCACAATTCACAAGAATAATTTATATGTATATATATATGTCACTCTTAATTTTTTATGGAGTTATTATAACAATAAAACAAATGAATGTATAATTATATATATTTTTAAATTAAAAAATAAGGGTAATTATATTTGTAATGTTGTATGCAGCACTTATAATTATTTTCTTCATTTAAATAAAATTTGAACGTATTCTGTTTCGATGTTAATACTAAAATATAATAAAAATAAGTACAAATACTTTTCGTTGTGAAAATCATAAAATATTTTTATCAATATAAAAAATTAGTTTAAAATATACAATTATAGAAGGTCATATATATTTGATAATAATATATCCCTCCCGATGATGGATCAAGTTGACAAAGGTCAAAAATTCAATTTTGCATGGAAGAATGTAATAACATCAGCAATAGTTGGGTAAGAAATTAAATATATAATGCATGAAATAAATTACCAATAATAAGCGTTAGCCCAACAATAACTACAACTATCCAAAATTCACGATTATGCCAAGCAACGGCTAAATCCAGCCAAATCTACGGCTTCCACAATTATTAATTAATTTGTCAATCAATGATTAAATCTAGCTAAATTCACGGTTATTACAATTTTTCAATTGACATGTCAATCAACGGATAAGTTTAGCCAAATCCACAACTTACATAATGCACCAATCCACTTGGCAATCAATAGCAAAGTCTAGCCAAATTCAAAGGTTACACAATTTATCAATTAACTTTCCAATTGAAGGTGAACTCTAGCCAAATTCAAAACTTACACGATTTATCAATCGACTTGTCAATCAACGGCTAAGTCTAGTCAAATTCACAGCATATACAATTTATAAATAGACTTTCCAATCAACCTCTAACTTTAGTCAAATCAACTACTAATACAATTTATCAATTGACTCGTCACTCAACGACTAAATCTAGTCAAATCCACAACTTACACTATTCAATCAAATAAATTTTTTCGTATAGACAATGTATTCACACATAAGCTATTAATAATTATTTGCCCACTAACGACATCAATAACTCAATAAACGATTTATTATATACATTATATATATCATATCACAAGAAGTTCACCACATATCCTGAAAATATAATCATAACAGTTTATTCATTTCAAGCGTACATATTTAACCTCTTACTTTAACCGTAGATTTATCTCACCTAATGAAAATATGGCATAACCCCAAGCCGACCGGGACATCCGGATAATCATAAAAATTTAATTGAAATGGAATAAAGTGATTCCTTAAGCTGTCATGAACCCTATCAACTGTTGGAGGATGAAAATGGGGAAGAAATGAAGGTTCGAGGGGTTTCTAATTGACCTCTTGTTTGCGACAGCGGATAGCTAACACAAAATGCTACTGACCTATAAAATGTCATGTTACTTGAATCTTTATAAGATTTATGGTGAATTTTTTAATTTAACACTTGTGACATGAACTTTTAACAAACAGTTTCCTACTTAAATGAATATATTGTTTTTGTCAGACATTCAATCGACCATTTGTCAGTGAAATTGGAAAGATAATTCGAAGGTCTATCCAATGAGACTAAGTGCACCCATAACAAATAAAAACTCAAAAATTTGTATCTAATCAAAGTCAACATATCAACAATGGGTAACAATCGACTTCATTAAACATTTAATGAGTTGATTCCGTTAGGGTTGAATATTACACAAACAAACCTTGAAAAGTTGTGTGTTTGATTGTGATTTCAAATAGAAATCAATATTATTCATCATGTACAACTTTAAATAAAAATATATTCTTTCTCTCACAAAATATTATATCAAAATATTATTTAAATAAAAACTCAAATAAACACTTCATTTCAAATTAATTTCAAACTACAACTAAACCAACATAGTTTAATAATATATTCATAGATTATTCGTTCAATTTTATATTATTAACCAAAAAAAAAAAACAAAATACACACACATATTTTATTAATAAATAAACTATTTTTTTTTAAAAAAAACATATTTACAAATATATAAAAATTATTATATTAAAACATCACAATTTTCAAGAACACCACAAAGTCTCGTCAAGTTGTTGCGGATTTTCACAATGTTAAAAAAAAAAGTCAATTTATCGTAAAGTTGACTTCTAACCATGAAATTACGAGTACAAAATTGCGCGACTCCTTTTTGCCTTACTTGCTATATAATGCTTACCTAACCTGACTTAAATCGAGTATATTTTTAAATTTTTTAATTTAAATTTTTATTTAATTATTTAATTTTGTACTCCTACTTTTCAATCAAGGTATTTGATTAGTGATATGATATTTAAGATGGTTAAATTTAGTGAATTAATGATAGTAACCTATGATATTTTTAATTCCCTTTTTATGTGAATAATGTTTTAATACTTTTAAAATAAAAGTTAGTATATATGATTAAAAGAGATTAAAATATATGTTTAAATATTTTTAAAATTATATCTCAATAAAATATAAGTATGTAATATGAATATTATTTTCTAAAAAATAAAATTTTATATAATACAAGAAAATCAAAACATATATATTTATTTATGATTAACATAAATTAATTTTATAAATAATTAAAATTTAAATGTATATAAAAATATTTTTTTATTGAAAAAATATATAAAAATATAGGAATTTTAAGTGGCCAAAATTCTTCTATTTCCTTAATAAACATAATGTATAATTTTATATGTTATGTTATGACTTGTTACATAATGTATTATATTATGTTATTAAGTAAATTAAGCTAATTATATATCTATTAAATATATTTAAAATAAGTATAATTTACTTAAAAATTGAAATATGTCAAATAATATATGATAGTTTAAAGTAAAAATATGCCAACTAATTTGGAACAAAATGAATATTTTATAAGATACAATATATTTTATTGCAAATTATTACATAGTAAAAAACCAAATTTAAATACAAAGCAAATAAACTCAATTTTCTCTTTTATTTTGAAGTACATTTACATTCATTTTTTTTTTTATTTTACAAAATAAGACATATATTTTTTTCAAATAATTTATTTATTTATTATCAATTATATATAAAATAAAGATTAAATTCAAAATAAATATATTGTGCAGTGCAGAAGCGTTTATTTTTAAGTTAAATTTCTCATTGAACATTGGATAAATTATTGATTTTATGGTAATAATTTCATTTTCTACATTAATACGACTATCTTTATATAGTTATATATTTTCAAAAGAATGGTTGAAAATCAAAATATTTTTATTTAAAAATTTTCTTTTCTTGCCTTTGTTTGCGGCGAGTTGAATTTGCAATTTTGTGATAAAAAATAAAATAAAATAAAATAAAATAAAACATATATATTTTTTTATGAATGTATTTTTTATGTTAGATGTTGAGAATATTATATATAGTATGTTAATGTGTGTATTGTAATTTTTAAATAATATTTATGAAAATTATGCTCCTGAAAAATATTAAGTGAACAAATCTAATATTTTAAAAAAAAGAAAAAACCAATCAAATATATTTCCTTTCATAAAATATCAGCAAGTATTATTTTTTTTTAATTATTAAATATTTTATTAAATTTTCCAAAAGTTAAAAAATCTCTATTTAACCATATAACAAATTTCTTAAGTATAAGGAACACCAATTTTTGAGTACCTTTAATTCATCTACTTTAAAAGCAGTATGAACTTATCAAAACCTAACTTGCAAAATTAGTAAAGCTTCGACACTGACTTAAATCATCTTTGGTCCATAAAGTCCAATTTATGCTTTTATACATTTCAATAATACTTTTTGTCATAAAATTTATTCTTTTAGCATGAATTATATATTTTTTTAATAAAAATACAAAAATTATAGTTGTGATTTTTTAAAAATAAATATAATTATGAAAATCGAAAAAAAAATAGAATGATAAAATGATATATATATATATATATTAATAATTAGAATAACTTGTAGTATTAAAATGATAATAAATAAGAAAAATAGATGTTGGGTGTGATGACAGCATAGTTAGACCGATGCTGGACCAATTTTTGTGTACAGATAAATCAGTGTAGATTACACAAAATTGAGTGGAAATTAATTGATTTAAATAGACTACTTGTGTGAGCCACCCGAAAGAACTTTAAAATTAAACATAATTGCTAGAATAGTTTCAAGATGAATGAGTTGAAAATATTCATTTAGCCATAACTCAACTTACCAGTGTGTTTGTTTGGGGTTTGGATTTTGAGTTGGGATTTGAATAGTAAAAATTTTGAATTTGAATAGTTGTATGATGCGATATAAATAGGTGTCGATATGATGTTTTGAACGTAAAATTGATTTTTAGTATAATATAAAAAATAAAAAATAAGTGTTTGATTTGATATTTTTTTAAAAAAAAATTGAATGAATAATTATTTAAAATCCAATCACCCAAACAAAAACACCCTAGAAGGATTTCCGCATTCCAACTTCTAATAGCAACCCAAATGGATCCAAAAAGCATCATGTGTATTTGGTTTTAGTCTCAATTTTAATTGACATTATGCTCTAATTTATTATTATTATTTATATAGGACTTACTTATATGTTTTATTTATATATATATATATTAATAAATAAATATAATAATATATTTAAATTAAACAAATATATTTATATATGTTTATATCTCTTGATTTTTTAAATTAATTTATATTAATTATAAAAAAATTATAATTTTTATTTGTTTTTATTATATATTAAAATTTTATTTTCTTTAAAATAATACTATATTATATATTTTTATTAAAATATTAATTTTAAAATATTTACATTTTTTTGTCATATTTGAAAGTATTTTTTTACAATTTGTATCGGTCTTACTTAAAAGTACATATTTTTACATATTAATACTAAAAAAATTTTAATTTTTATATAAATTATAAAATAAAATTATATATACATAAATTACAAAGAAAACAAAAATGTCTAAACAATCTTAAATACTTCTACTAACTAATATATAATACTATTATTTTTTAAGTTTACTATAAAAATTCAAATATAGTCCGATACTAAGAGGTAATATATTTTAATTTTTGTAGCCATATACTCGTTCGGTCTAGCCAGAAAGTATCTAGTTTGTGTCATTATTTTATCATTAGAAATATTCTTATATTTATATAATTTACTTCATAATTATATATATATATTAATTCTTTTTAATGATATGTACTTCTTTCATCCATCCCAAAAGTGTCATTTATAATTTTAGAATAAATAAAAAAAATAATATTGTTCATAATTTCTCTATAATATAAAAATTAAATTTGCTTTTTTATATTTTAAAAAGTATTAAATAATTTTTTTTTATCACATAAAAATATAATTTTTTATTTATATTAAATATAAAAATATTTAGGTTGAATTATTTTTAATCTTAACTTCCAACTTAAAATACAATAAATAAGACAGTGACGAAGAGATTCGAAAACCCCACGTCAAGCACACAGCAGTGACGGCGTTCCGCCACCGTCTCCGCCGACCGCCACCACCTCTTCACTTCCCTCTTTTTCACTTTGTCCTTTTGTTCCTTCAAATTGTTCTTCGCCACGTATTCAACTCAGAATTGAAAAAGCAAAGGGAAGAGGGGCAGCAATTCGGATCGGAAATGGGTCAAGCTGGAGCTGGAACACAGAAATCAAAGCCCGAAGATGTTTCGTGAAGAATCTTCCGCCTCAGTTTTCTGCTGATGGATAGTCTCTTCTTCTCAGCCTGCCTTCTCTCTCTCCTCCTCTTCAATTTCTCTCTCTTCCCAGGTTTGGGGATTTCTTCATCATCACTTTGATTTTGCGATTTTGCGATTTTTTATTTTTGATTTTTTAATTGTCGATTTTTGCTGTTGCTGAAATTCATCAGGGGCGGAATCGACGACGTTCAAGTTAGTGAACAAGTGCCGCCGCACGATTTGGCCGGGAATTCTTACCGGCGCTAACCGGCCGCCGCTAAACCCCACCGGATTCGTTCTGAGGAGCGGAAAATCGAGGACGCTCCGGGTGCCCCATTCGTGGTCGGGTCGGGTTTGGGCTCGGACCCACTGCTCCACGGATCCTTCCACCGGAAAATTTTCCTGCGCCACCGCCGATTGCGGCTCGGGGAGAGTTGAATGCGCCGGGGCCGGCGCGATTCCCCCCGCCACTCTGGCGGAGTTCACCCTGAACGGCGATCAAGGTCTGGATTTCTACGACGTAAGCTTGGTGGATGGGTACAACCTCCCAATGCTTATAATCGCCAGGGGAGGTACAAGCGGGGGATGCAGCTCCACAGGGTGCCTTGTCGACCTGAACGGCGCCTGCCCGAGGGAGCTGACGGTGGCGCGTGGAAACGGTAGCCGTGAGAGCGTCGCGTGCAAGAGCGCGTGCGAGGCTTTCGGCGATCCGGTCTACTGCTGCAGCGAAGGGTACAACACACCGGAGACGTGTCACCCGTCGCCATACTCGATCTTCTTCAAGCATGCTTGCCCGCGCGCCTACAGCTACGCTTACGATGACCATACCAGCACCTTCACCTGCGCCGGCGCCGACTACCTAATCATCTTCTGCCCGCTGCCGTACACCAGGTTCATTTCGAATCACTGATTTTGCATTCACATTCCTTTCGTAGAATTGTTCGTTTGGAAATTTGTTCAACAGATTGAGAAAATTGGGGAAGCAAATTCTGTTGAAAGACGAATCAAATGCCTAAAAATCTAATCACTGAAAGCTTGGAAATCTTCCATGGCTACAATTGTGAAAATAATCATTGCTGTTCATAAATCAAATTCTTTGGTAGAATAGATGTTCAAGCAATGCTTCTTCCTAACCAAATTAACTGTGAATCAAATAACTTGTTGATTAGTCTGAACATTCCCAAGAACCCTTCTTGTTGAAGGTAATGTTTGTTTCTCATATTTTGGTTCACTACTACTAGGAATTTCTGCTATAGTGCAAATGTTTCTCCATTGATACTTAATCGAGAAATCAAAGTATTAACCGAATGTTCAAACTTGGTGTCAGTATCCGAATCTGGAGAGAACACAAATGAATTATGTTTGGAAATCAAGTTAAGTGTGATATTTCTTCTCTACTTGATTGGCCTAATTTTTCCAGTTTAATCTTCCGATCACATGCTCTACCAAGATTTTGATAACGAAACCATTGTTGATCATTTGATTGCATATTCTACAATAGTGTCTTTATTGTATTTTATAACTCACTTGTGTTTAGAAAGTATTCACCACTCTTCCCTATAATTTAGAAAGTACACCAGACTTTTTTGTCGTTAGATGATTTTGTGTAATATTTTAAAACGCACAAAGGATGTGTTTACTTGTAAGGTTTTCGGGGTGGTTCTACTATTCCCAATTTTTTTTTTTCATTTATTATGTCGCATTAAAATTTATTTTTACATTCAAAATATCACATCAAAATAATAGTTTCAATTCAAATTTTACTATTCAAAATCAAAATTCAAAATTAAAACTTTACTAATAAACACACCAAAAGGAATCTTATGTAGTTTCTAAATCGTGAAAGAGTATAGTGTAGACTTTCCAAACTATTGGTGGACTATAAACAATTTTACCATATAATTTTACAGAGTTCCAAGGCTAATTTACTTAATTTTTCAGCCTGCATTTAGATAGTTTTCGCAGTCACTGGTTGTCGACAAAAATGTAGAAATTTGTTGATACTAACCTTGCGATTTCATACTCTGGCATATATTGGATTTCTTCCTCTATGTGTGATTGATTTCAAGACATGATCTGCTTCCAATTTTCCAGCCTGAAGCTGCTTGGAGCGCGCAAGGAAGTAGCCGATTTACCACTTGTTAACAAATCTATGATGTACATTGGAAGACATCACACAAGCTTGTCGTCTCCAGGTTTGACTCAGCACCCATCATATGTATTGCTCTGACATTTTTGCAGGTTTAGTTGCATTTATAATCAAATATTAACAATCTCGGGTGAATTCTTACAGGCTGAAGAGTGAGTCGTTTTATAGCAATCCCAAAATGTCGTGTCATTACTCCCTAATGAGTCGGATCACATTGTCGAAATTCATGGTGGCGTATGGTGCAACACGAACACCCTTTGTATGCAGGTTACGATTAACATTTTTTGTGCCTTTGTAATGTTTTTTGTTAAGTTCACGGCAAATATTCTGCATTCTGTCCTTTCTCTGCGACGAACATATGTGACACTGATCAAGATAGATAGAATTTTAAGGTTTAGTTTTCTTCCATGTGGTGCATATGCTGTTAAAGCTTTCCTTTATTCTGTGCCTGCTCGACGTAGGAAGGCAAAAAATTATGCTCGAATCCGAGACGGGACGGACAAAATTTGTTGGCTTTTATGAGATGCTGTTTATCTTAGCTTTCTTTATTTGTTCTGATCCTGTAATGACCACCCTCCCCCTCCCCTCCCCCTGGCCCCGTCTCCTTTTAGGGTTTTGGACACGGAAATCCACTTGCTGGATGTTTGTTATTGCAGATTCAAATGTGTGCAGATTGAAAAGTTTTGGTGTTAAGTGTGTTGTTGATTTGAGGGTTCAGACATGAAATTGGTCTGAAAATACCATGGATAGTGAGCGGGAGTGTATAGTTTGAATAGCAGCATATATGGAGGGAGGGTGGTTTGTGGCCTGTGGGTTCTGTTTAGATATGACTTTTAAAGTTACTAGAGTTTTGAAAATATTTGGCCATATTAAAAAGTTGAATTTGAATAGTTGTATAATGTAATATAAACGGTGCTGATGAGATATTTTGATTCTAGGGAAAAATAGGATGAATAGTGCATTAATATTAAATTTTTAAGTAAATTACAAATATATTATTATTATTACATATATAACTAATTTATATATAAAATATGAAAACAAAAATGTCGAAATTATATTACACATTTTATTAATTTATATATTTTTTTTAACTAATAAAATATTATTTTTTAATTTAATACAAAACAATATACATTGGTATGGTGAGGTATTTTCTATTATTTGTTTTTATTTATCTACCATATTGCAATCCAGCTGGCCGAACATATATTTTGAAACCAAATGCTCAAAATTAGTAACCCTTAATCCACATGGCTTATCAATCGGGCTGGACCAACCTAGTAGCAGCCTATAAGCACAAATCCAAGTGTAAACTCAATCAGGAAGGTGAGACGAGAATTATTTAATAAGTTGGACGTTGAGATATTTGCGAGAATGTCTGTAGAAAGAAAATTTATCATTTTCTTGCCGTTACAAATAATGGTTGTAACTCGGGATGTCGGCATTGAAAGTTTTTATGGATTTGATTGACAATTAACTCAGAATCACCAAGAATATAAATAACCTTAGGCATTTTTATCCAATAAAATACGAAGTCTTATAATTAAAGCTTCCTACTCTATTTTGTTATGTGACATTCCAATCTTCCAACTGTAGGATGTATAGCATTCTTTTACCGAAGGGGTTTGTTAAAATGACTTCTGCACCAGAACTATTTTCTTGTTGCGGAACCATTAAACATCATCGTCCACGGTACAAGATTAATATACTCCGCAGCCGTTGGTTCTTCCTCGGTTGGCCGGTGATGATGGGTGATAAAATATGCCAGCTTGTCCTTTTACTGATTTTAATAGAGTTTAAATTAGTGCGAAATGGATTAATTTGACCGCCCATTTCAAAAGTCAACCGTTAAGGATATGTCGATTGATTAATGTCTGACATCACAAATTACTAGAGTTTCCCGAGGTTAGATATAATGTCCCAACTTTGTACATGTATATATAAGGGCATAGCATAACTTTTCAATATGGGAAAATCTGACCTCTGTGCTACTCAAGGTTTTGCTCAAGTAATAAATGAACCGTTTTGTATTATCGTCTGCATCTTGAGCTAACAAAGACCCAATTGTGTCCTCTGTAGCCGAGATATATAATTTTAATGGCTTGTCATCCTGATGTGGGATGAGGACGGAAGGTGAAGACAAAGCCTTTTTTATTTCTTCGAAGGCTTGTTGTTTTTCACGTCCCCAGACGAAATCGTGTTTGTCTTTGATTCATAAAAGCTTAGTGAATGCTTTCATTTTTCCAGCGGCGTTAGATATAAGATGACATAAAAAATTTATTTTACCCACTAAGGATTGGATTTCTTTTATGTTCCTTGGTGGGCTAGTTTCACATACGGCTTTAACTTTGTTTTTATCTATTTCAATAAAAGTCCCAAAAACTTTCGGGCAGTGATGCTGAATGCACACTTTGTGGGATTCATTTTAAGATTATGGCAGCGCATTCTAATGAAAGATTGCTCCAGGTCGGTCAGGTGGGAGTCAAATGTGGATGACTTAACTATGTTGTCGTCTATGTAAACTTCAATATTATGTCCGATGAGATCATGGAATATCGTGTTCATGGCGTGTTGGTATGTGGCACCAGCATTTTTTAGGCCAAAAGGCATGATGACCCATTCGTAAATACCTAAAGCGCCTGGACATTTGAATGTAGTTTCAGATACATCTTCTCTAGCTATAATAATTTGATTATAACCAGAATATCCATTAATTAATGATCAAAATTTATTCCCTGCCGCAACATCTATTAATATATCGGCAATAGGCATTAAATATTCATCGTTAGAAGTAGCCAAATTTAGGTTTCTAAAATCTATACAAATTATGAGTTGGCCATTTTTCTTTATTACAGGTACAATATTAGACAACCATTCGGGATATCTACAAGTTCTAATGAAGCCGACAGCCAAAATTTTTTTGATCTCGGCCTTGAGCTTAGGCATTAGTGCTGGATCAAAACGCCTTAGTGGTTGCATATGGGGGCGGAAACCATTCTTGATCGGAAGCTTGTGTTCCAACAATTCCCTTGCTAAACCTGGAATTTTTTCAAAAGACTAAGCTAAACAATCATCATATTTATGTATTAAAGCGGTGAGCCGTTTTTTTTGCTCTTGTGTTAGCAAACTACTTACCTTAATAAGACGTGGTTTGACATCTGTTCCCAGGTTCACCTCGTCCAAGGGATCTTGAGCTTCTACCATATGGTACTTTTTTATGACACGAGAAGGATTATCATCAAGCCATTGTTTATTTGTGGCCTCAGTTTGGTGCGTAGCAATCAGTATGTCGGCCAGAGATGTATATTCGAAAGTATTTTTCAGCCGTTGGTACAATTCTTGAATTGCTACTAACATATTAATTTTTAGTTGTTAGGGTTGGTCTCACTTTGGGCAGTACATACCATCTTAAAACCATGAGGCATAAGTTGGCAAAGGTCCAATGGTCTGGTCTCCATGGAGGCCATTCTTATGACAGACTCTATAGTTTTTAGATATAACATCGATTCGTAAGCTTCGGTGTTGTATCCGAATGGTTTTGGATCTACGTCCACCATTTTGACCTTGTATCCATCCCAATACATTAATTTATGATTTAAAGTAGATAAAACACAATGAGCCGAATGAATCCAATCCCTTCCAAGTAATACAAAATATGTAGCGGGTGCATCGACAACAAAGAAGACAAATGACATCATCTTCGGTCGACATCAATCTCTGCAATCAACAGTCCAAGTGGCTCTGTGTGCTGACCTACAAAACTTGTCATTTTAATATCTGATTTCAGAAGATCAGCTTTAATCTTACCAATCTTTTGCAGTGTCAAACATGGCACAACATTCAGGAGTGCTCCATTGTCCACAAATACCCTATCGATGGGCCTACCATCAAGATGAGCCTTAATGTATAATGGTTTTAAATGGCTGGAAGAATCAGAAGAATGTGGCATAAATATATTAAAGGATGGGGAGTGGAGTCGGGTATCTAAGTCGTCTGCGGCTAGAATTGCCTATGGCTCTTCGTCTTCCGCCCATGTAGCGATTTCGGGCTGATATTTGTTGTAGGTTGGAACGGCTGCAACCATAGACATTTCGATAGTTGTGTTACCATCCTTAAATAGAAGGTCGTCCAATTGGAGTTGTTCCTCTGTCGTTGCAATGTCTGTGTTTAACTTCTCGAGATATTTCTCATCTTCGGCGGTCAACCCTTCTAGTCACATTGCATCCAAATCTCCCTTTGTGATATCTCCAAATTGGATCACAAATAAAGCAAGGTTATTAGGATTGAAAGGATCTTTGCCCGTGTCTTATGGTGTCATATTTTTCACTTATGAAGTTTCAGTAGAATCTTCCTTCCACATTGTGATGATAGGATTTTCGCTCTGTAATGAGCTGGCCTGATGGCCATTACTCATATCGCTCTGTAGATTTGGTAGCTATGCTATCAACCGATGTATGCACACTTGGTTTTCGGATTAAATCATTAGGTGGGGATTTTGATTTCTTTGGGGGCGATGTCCGAATACTGAGATGTTGAAACTCCCATTTTCTATTATCCAATACGACAACCATAACACCTGGTCGATTTTGATTTTCTTTGATCACTTTCTAGGTGTCGGGAGAAAGGTATAAGAATAGAACCAACAAATTTTCCTTGATGTTCCCTTCTTCGGGTTGCATATCGTCTTTGCAATCGTCGTAATTGTGATCGAGAAAGCTCAGGATATTGCAATTCCAAATCACGCCGGGACATTCTGCTTTCTATAATGTCACATTTCCCAATAGAATTGACATGTGTCCGTGGAACTTGTGATCGCGGTTGATACGCCTCCACATCTATTATATAATCGATATTATAATTTCTATTATTGGCAAACACCTCAACCACTGGTTTGATGAAAGTTCAGCGTTGACCCCGACCCCTCTAGGCAAAAGGAGTGTGATAATCATCATCCTGTAATGGTTTTTTGATGTGTGAGTTGGTGAAGCCTCGGCACGGACTACGACCTTTTTGGTTAAAAGGCGTTTGATCATTTCCATTCCGCGGAGGGTTTCTAACCTGCGGATGTGTTGTCTAGCGACGAATGTCGATGCCGTGATGATTGTTGATAGAACGCTCTTGTGGCTTACCGAGATAGATTATTCGGACAGAGCCATTATCGGGGTGAGAGCTTATTCTGCGTGCATCCACCATAAAAATAATTTCGGTAGTTGAGCGGTGGTTTTGAAATATCAGAATCTTCAATTTTCTCTTTGCCTTTGTTATCTCTGCATGGTGACCGTCCCCGGGGAGGTCTATCATCTTACAAGGATTATTCTTTTGGTGAGGTTAGTTGTACTGTTATAGTGGCAATTTGAACCTTTGGAAAATGTTCATTATCCACTTTCGTACCAGCAAGCTTGACACGTCCATTCTTCAGTGATTTCAGTTTGATTGTCTGGAAATGCAGACAATTTACAGTGGCATGTCGAAATGAATTGTGTCATTTACAATAGTTCTATTCTTTTATTTCTTGAGGCGAGGCCATTTTCTAACCCTTAGGAAT